ATTGATGGAATCCCTTCTGTTTATGCTTCATACAAATTTACCAACACACCTCTACCAATCATGAACGCTCGTCTTACCGTAAATCTCTCCCGAGTAATCACAGTAATATACTATTGCACTCTCCCGAGATACACTAGCTAGCTTTAATTAACGCAGTTCACTTAAGATTGCACCCAAAGTTTCGTTATCCCTAATCCCGCCTTTAAACCCGCAGTTATAGATTCCTTTTATACTTTAGGAGTGGTGTTATTCAACAATAACCTAAATATGCACTCTTTCCCGAGTTATGCACACTAACTAGGCACAGCTAATTGAGGATCCTGTCAATTAACTACAACAAGAACATAGTTGAATAAATAAAGATTGAAACTAGCAATTTGTATTCACATAAACAAGAAGTTCATCCCCCAATAGGTTCCATCAAAACCTTAGACAAGGGATTTAGCTACTCATAACTATGGGTAAACAAGATAAGATAATATTCATCATCAAAAACTAACAATAAAAATCAAAGAAAAGAAGAAAGATGTTTTGGGTGATCTCTCACAATTTTTTTTCTTCCAACATACTCTCCAATTCAATACATGCCTCTCTTGGGCGGAGTCTAGTGTTTAAAATAGGGTTTTGGGCTAAAAATCCCATGTTTTGCACTTTAGTCCCTAAAATTTCCGCCTCCTGCCGCGGTCGCGGTCAAACTGTGGCCAAACATGGCCTCTGATTCTTCAATTGTCTGCGTCTGCACTCTGTCGCGGTTCTGCCGCGGTTGCGGTGAAACCGCGGTTTTTCATCCTGTTCTGTTTGGAATTTGGAAATATGCAAAACATGAAAGTTGTAGCCCGTTGAGTTATCTTTCCAACCATATATTATTGAGCCAAAATAGAGTTATTCATAAAAGGTTATGTGCATTTTACTAGACAGTGCGCAATATGCCTCATCGAGTCTTCGTTTGTTCTCAACTATCAAATTTGACCCCCGAACACGATCCCGGCTTAATTCCTTGAGCTTTTACTCAGACTTCAAAGCTTCAAATTACTTAAATTCATTCCATAACATCTATATAGCTCGGAATCACACCTACAAGGCATAAAACACATAATTAGTGCAAAACACTAGCGACTAAAGCGCAAAGTCAACTAAAGTGCAGTAAATTAGAGTGTAATAATCGACTAAAATATGCAATTATAGCCTATCATCATTTCCCCTCAGAAATAGTCTACGCATTGGCAAAGTTCGGCCTAAAGGTAAAATGGCCACAGAAGATAAAGTCCGACCCTAGCACCAGAAAGTCAAACGCCCTCTGCAAATTCCACCAGGAACGGGATCACAAGACCGAGGACTGCATCGCCCTTACACAGGAGGTCATGAACATGCTTCACCAAGGGCACCTAAAATAATTGATGAGCGATCAAGTAAGGGCCAACTTCACCCCAGGGTGAGAACAATATCAGGGGCCGCCCAAACCACCTTCCCCAGTTCAGACCATTCAAATGATCATCGGAGGAGGCGACGACGCATCCATCAACATCGTGAAGTTCACCACCACTCACAAGCTCAAGCGGTCAATCACCCATGAATGGTATGACGAACTCGAAGAAAGTATCATCTTCGATAAGTCAGATACCCACAGTTTGGTCTTTCCTCACTATGACGCCCTTGTCATTACTTTACATATTTTTGATACTGATATAAGACGTATCATGGTCGATGATGGAAGCGGCGTGTGTATAATCCATCATCGAGTTCTCACCCAAATGAAGCTCGAGGATAGGATAGTGCCACGCTGGATCACGCTAACAGGTTTTAACAATGCAGTTGAGTGAACATTTGGAGAAATCACGCTGCGTGTCTTGGCGGAAACGTCACCTTGGAGACCACATTCCACATCATGGACCAAGATATGGCATACAACTCCATCAAAGGTTGATCATGGATACACCCCATAAAAGTCGTCCCCTCTAGTTTGTACCAAGTTATTAAATTTCCCACCCCCTAGGAGTATTCTGTATCTGGGGAGAGCAACGCACGGCCCGATAATGCTACCGCATCGCCCAAGACTGCACATACACCCAATAGTTAAAAGGAAAAGTCGAGGAAGCATAGCATTTAACGAAGTCGAGGTCAGATGGCAATGAAAAGAAAGACGTCATCAGCGACCCTGAAATCATAGAAGCCACGGGGTAAACTGTATAGGACCTCAACCCCATCTAACTAGATGACGACAACCGCAACAAGAAGCTTTCATCGGCCATAAACTCCAAGATCTAGGTAAATTTCATCAATTCTTAAAAAATAACATAGACCTATTTGTTTTTTCCCATGCAAATATGCCAGGTATCCCAAAGGAGATAGCATCTCACAAGTTGTACATCAACCATTCCCCCCAGTAAGGCAAATCAGATGAAAGTTCAACTATGCAATAAACGACGTAGTTCTTGAAGAGATCAAGAAATTGTTAGTAAACAGTTCTATCAGAGAATAGAAGTACCCTAAGTGGGTCGCCAATGTAGTTATGATGAAAAAGAAGAACGGTAAGTGGAGAATGTGCATGGACTTTACAGATCTGAACAAAGACTGCATTGCCCCACATCGACCAACTCATCAATGCCACAGCCGGGCACGAGCTGTTGAGTTTCTTGGATGCCTACTCAGGCTACAACCAAATCCTCATAGAGGATGAGGACCAGGAAAAAACCATGTCCATCACCTATCAGGAGACGTACTGCTACAAAGTGATAACGTTCGGGTTAAAAAACACGGGGGTAGCGTACCAGAGGCTGGGGACCAAAATGTTCAAAGATCAACTTAGCAAGACCATAGAACTATATATAGATGACATGTTGGTCAAGTAAAAGAGAAAGGAAGACCATATCGACACTTGAGGGAAGCCTTCGACATACTCAGAAGGTATGACATGAAATTAAACCCTGAAAAATGTGCTTTCGGCATGACATCTGGAAAATTCCTCGGCTTCTTGGAATCACAACGAGGCATCGTGGTCAATCCCGACCAAATCAAGGCCATAGAATGAATCCCAGAAAATCTAACCAGCAAAAAACAAGTGCAAAAACTGACTGGCCGGATAGCCGCCCTGTCAAGATTCATCTTGAGGTCCTTCGATAGGTGCCACAAATTTTTTGGCATACTCAAAAAGGATAACAGACTCCAATGGAATTCTGAGTGCATCAACGCCTTAAAAGAACTAAAGGCCTACCTGTCTTCGCCATCATTGCTCGCTAAAGTAGATCTCGGAGAGCGCCTCCTCGTCTACCTGGCCGTGTCCGATGTCGCAGTAAGTGCTGTCCTGGTATGAGAAAATAAAATATGCAATCTCTAATCTATTACAATAGCAAAACATTGGTCGACCCTGAAACGAGGTACCCCCACCTCAAGAAGTTAGCTCTAGCCCTGGTCATAGCTTTACGGAAGCTTAGACCTTATTTCCAATGCCACCCCATCTTGGTGGCCACGACTTTTTTTTAAGGAGTATCTTGCACAAACCTGAATTGTTGGGTAGATTGGCCAAGTGGTCCATAGAGCTGAGCGAGCATGATATAACCTATCAACCGCGAACAACAATAAAGTCGCAAGTTCTTGCCAATTTCGTCATCGACTTAAGTGCAAAGATAATGTCCTAAGTTGAAAGGGAAACCGCCATTACTTCCACTAAAGTACACGACCAATGGGTTTTGTACAGCGATGGCGCTTTTAATGCATCAGGATCTGGACTAGGACTCATGCTCGAGGTCTCAACAGGCAAAATGGTTCGCCAATCCATACGATGCCCTGATATGACTAACAACGAGGCCGAGTATGAGGCCGTGAGTGTAGGGTTAAAATTAACACTCAAGTACATAGCGTAGCGAGTCATTCTTTGATGCGATTCACAACTCGTTATCAATCAGGTCACAGGGAATTTCCAAATTAAGGAGCAACAGTTACAGAAATATCAGCGAAAATTTGCAAACTATTACCTGAGTTTGATGAATGCCTGCTCGATCAAATACCCTGAACACAAAACATTGAAGTAGACGGCCTCGTCAAATTTGGCAGTGGCTACCAAAAGCATAACCAGAGAGGGGGACGTGTTCACTCTCCTCCATTCATCACTGGACCAAATCGAGATACGATCTATAAACCTAACTTGAGACTGGTGCAATCGTATCATGTCATACTTGCAGGACGAAGTGCTCCCACCGGACAAAAAATAAGCCAAGAAGCTTCGAATGCAGGCGGCCAGGTATAACATCGTCGATAACAACCTGTACAAAAGAAACATTTGGTGGTCCCCTAGAAAAGTTCTTAGGACCAAATCAAACATGGCATGTCCTTGAAAAAGTACACGAAGGCCACTGTGGAGCTCACACTAGCAACCGAGCTCTTGCCAGATGCCTCATACGAGCAGGCTACTATTGGCCTATGATGAAAAAGGAAGTTGCCGACTTCGTCAAAAAGTGCGAGCAATGCCAAAGATGTGCCCCCATTATTCACCAAGCGGGCTAACACCTTCATTCAGTCACCTCGCCCTTGTCTTTCATCAAATGGGGAATGGACATCATTGGACCCCTCCCGGCGGGACGAGGTAATGTACGATTTCTTTTAGTTTTAACTGACTATTTCTCCAAATAGGTAGAAGTAGGTGCATTCGCCCAAATATGCGAGCAGGAAGTAATGATGTTCATATGGAGAAACATCATATGCCGTTTCGGCATCCCCAAAGAAATCAGATGCGACAACGGTCCCCAGTTCACTGGAAAAAAGACCGCCGAGTTCTTCGAAAAATGGCACATCAATAGATTACTCTCCACGCCATATCATCCCGCAGGCAATGGTCAGGCGAAATCCTCCAACAAAACAATATTGAACATCATGAAAAAGAAGCTCGAGAATGCCAAGGGACTATGGCCGGAACTACTACCGGAAATGTTATGGGCATACCNATTTTTGAATTTGGCACTATTTAAATAAAAAAGAACCTACAATAAGGTTTTCTTCCTTAAACACTAACCCAGCCAAGACTCACCAATAAGGTAACTCCGCCCTATGTTTTTTGGATCAAATCCGGTGACAATTCTCCATTCATGTCCTTCCAGAGCTGGGTAAGTGATCTTCAAGGGCATCTCCCTAATCCATTCTTCCCAGCGCTCCTCAATCAGATCCATAACTGTTGCTTCTTGTGTAGGAGTAACTAGAGAACTGAAAATTGCAATAAAGTTGACAACTAAGAAAGACCGGAAGTCCATGCGAGCCGGGTTGATATTAACCAAAAAGATACCATCCTCGAAAGGGCCTGAAATCAAAGACCCAGTCAGGGATAGAGTTGAGAATGACATTAAAATTGAACATCTGTGTAGGAGTACTAATAAGTGAGGTTGGGGAAGACTTGGCTGCGGCAAGTCTGCCTGGCTCGTTGTCACCTATGTTGAAGAAAGGTTTGGAACCATGTAGAGAATGAAGAGGGGCTAAGGATCTTCCTCTCAACAGTGGTTTTCGAGTCTCCCCCCTGAATAAGTAAGGCCCCATTAGCCTGGGCGAAGATGGAGATAAAGAGTAAGTATTGAAGCCCCCTTAGTACTATGTCGAAAACGAGCACAGAAGAAACACCATATTCACTAGTCTATGGGACTGATATAGTAATATCGGTCGAAGTCGGGGAACCAAGCCTAAGGTATTCAAACAAAAGTAGTCCAAGCAATGATTAAAATATAAGGCAAGACCTCGACGAAGACGAAGAGCATAGAGACATGGCCTATATAAGAATGATAGCTCAAAAACAACAGACAGAGTGGTACTACAAAAAAATCCAAATTCAGGCCACTCAAAGTCGGGGACTACATACTCAAAGCCAAAACATAAGCAAGCAAAGACCCACGAGAAGGAAATTTGGGAACCAATTGGGAAGGTCCATACAAAATCACGGTGGCAGTAAGCAAAAGGTCATTCCAGCTAGAAACCATGGAAGGAAAACTACTACCAAACAAATGGAACATCGCCCACCTCAAATACTTCAACTTCTAATGATAGACGTCTCTCGAGTCATACTCTTTTTCCCTTGCCCGAGTTTTGTCCCAAATGGTTTTTCTCAGGGAGGTTTTTAACGTGGCGACGGAGAGAGTGCCTCGAAGTTAAGTATAAGTTCATCGCTCGACTCTCAACTATTTTTCTAGGTCGACCAGTGAAGGGACTAGATAGACTGGGGCTTTAATGTATGAGACTTCCCCAATGTATGCATACAAAAAGCAAACACATATAAACTTCTCCAATGAATGTATAAACAAAACAAAATACGCAAACACACCATTTTTTCATCTCCGCCAAGTTAAGAGTCAAACATTCGACCTCGCTCAAACCGGCTCACATTCGACCTCGCACAACATTCAACCTCGTTCGAATCACTTAAGATTCAAACATTCGACCTCAATAAAATCACTTAAGAGTCAAACATTCAACCTCGTTCGAATAGACTCACATTTTATTAACATTCGACCTCGTTCGAATCACTTAAAGAGTCAAACATTCGACCTCGCTCGAATTATTAACATTCGACCTGGCTCGAACTGACTCACATTCGACCTCGCTAGAATTTATTAACATTCGACCTCGTTCGAATCACTTAAAGAGTCAAACATTCGACCTCGCTCGAATTGACTCACATTCGACCTCGCTCAAATTTATTAATATTCGACCTCGTTCGAAATTAACTAAGAATCAACATTCAACTCCATTCTAATTCATTAACATTCGACTACGTTTGAATCTATCAACATTCAACCTTGTTTGAATCAACCATCATTCGACCTCATTTGAATCAACTAAGTCAAGAACTCTTACAAAGAAAAAAACATTCGAAGAAAAATGAAAAAAGCCAAGAACATATATCAAAAAGTCAATAGTCGTTCCATTCCAAAATATAAAGTATCTTACAAAGGGCCAGAAAGGCCCCCTCCAAAAAAACAGAAGAAGAGAAAGAAAGAAAGAAAGAAAAGAGAAAAAAAGAAACTAAGTACAAGAAAATCACACTGCATCATCTCCGTCTGCGCCATCACAACCTTCACCGCCCAGCCCAACAACACCATCTCCACCTTCGCTCGTGCCATCAACATACTCATTGTCGTACCAAAGATCAAATGCAAGCTCATCCAAGTCCTCTTCATCATCGTTGTTCCCCGGCGTAGCAGGGTCATAACCACAGGTAAGCCTGGCATCACGTGCCTTGACATGGGCATCTTTGAAGTCGGCCTAAGGAACCTTTTCCCCGCCATCAAGTTCCTATATATATCCAGCTTTACCTCAGCGTGGATCCACATCTCGTATAAATCATGAGGAACGTCGGGGAAAGCGGAAGCACGTGAGGAAGAAGGTCGAACCAACAATTGTGCCTTCTCAGCCTCAAGGGCGGCGACTTGCTCACTTAGGCTCAAAACTTCTTTCTCAAGCCCACCAATTCGCTCATTAAGTCGCGTCTCCTTTAGCGCGTCCGTTTCCGCATCGGTTGCATGTTCAAACCTAAGGACGCAGATAGCGCTCTCTAACACCGCCGCCTTTGCCAAAGCCGCTACTCGAGCCTCATTGGCCCTCACCAACTCTACCACCTTCTCAATCAACTCACCACTCAGACCGGCAACTTTAATTGAGCTTTTCTCAAGCTCAACCCGTAAGGTCGCCACTTGCACTTAAAGGTCGATGCACTCGGCCATGACCCCCTTGCTCACCTCGAGCTCATCGTCCTTGGCCTTGAGAAACCCTCCAAGATCACTACATCTACCAATAGTTCGCACAAGCTCCTCGTCCTTCTGACCCAATTTGTCTCTAAGGGCCTGGAGATTACCACCTGCTCTAAATCATGCATGCATTTCACGGTACTTGTCACGATAACGGACGTACTTCAAAACCATCTTCTGAAAAACAACCTTCCGCTTCTCTTCTCGACTAGCACTCTCGATCTCCAAAATGAAAGTCTAAAAAAAGAGAGAGAATAAGAAGAAAATTAGCAAAGGTAGAAAGAGGAAAAAGATGCAAAATTGCAGAAATGACGAAAGAAACTTACCCTCAAGCCATCCCACATATGCCCAGTGACAGGTCGGAATCTCAGAGCGCTTGAAGGTCCTATTTTCAATGGCAGAACAAAGAGGGGCAAAGGAGGAGACCATGCTCACCGTATCCTCCAACAAATCGCAGTCCAAAGGGATTATGATTGAGCGAGAGGATCCATTCATTCTCACCTCCACCCGAGTAAGCCCTTCGTCGAATATCCTCGCTTCCTTAGGGTCGACATCAGAGCCAGATTCGTAATCATCTACGATCACACTCTTCACCCTCTCCTCAAAAGGAACGTTGGCCTGCCCTTACGTCGACGGATCACTCCTCGGAATGATCACTTCTGCTTCTGGTCACTCCCTTTCTTCCACAAAGGTGAACTCCACTCCCGAAGGAGCCACGATCTCTATATCTGAGGTCGTACCACCCCTCAACTCAGCCGTGGTCAACTCAGGTTTGCCCCCGTAGACTCCTATTCAACCACTCCTCCATCAACCTCTATCCTTTGCCTTTTCAGCGGAGCCTCTTCATCCTCGCCATGATCCGACTCATCGACCAAGTGAAACACTATATAATCTGAAATCTCCACTAGCGGGGCAGCAGCCTAGCGAATAGGACTATGGGAGGCTAGGGTCTGAGGAGTAACAACGGTCTAAGCATGCTCACTTGTAGCCACAGCGAGTACGGGCTAGACCGAAATACCCGACTGGCGAAAAGCAAACATAGGAGCCCTCGCTCTCCTTGAAGCCTTCCGGCCTACCAACGAAGAAAAATAAGAGACAAGACAGAAATGACGATATAAAGGCCAAAACTATTAAAGTCAAAGTAAGGTGACTTACCGGCCGCAGGCCTACTTCCAAACCTCTTATTAAATTGCGACCACTCGCGAATCCCCACTGTGTGAGGCAAAATCTGACTCACCCAGTTGCGAATGTCAATTACTGGCGAAGGAGGATCCCTCGATGATCAGATCATCAAAAATAAACAACGAAGTCATTTGGGAGAAAAACACTTATGAGCAAAGTTTCACTCCTCGGGGAATCCGCTGGGGTTGGATACCACGTGCTCTATTTTCACGTAGAAGAAATTGGCCTAAAAACAGCGATTAGTTTTATCGTGCATCTTCAACACCAACCCCTTGGTTCCGCGGTGGCGCATGTGAATCATTGTGCCCATACAAAAACTTGGAAGTGAAGCAGATGGGAGAGAGAAATACCACGGTTGGATAGCTCCGTGTACTTGATAAGCATAAGGAAAGGCTTGTATATGTACGAAGAGAGCTGAGCCGGGAACAAACCATAAAAACGGATAAAATCCTCCACCAAGGAAGGAAGAGGAAGTGTATAGCCATCAACGAACGGGTTCGCATAAAATGCGCAGTACCCTGAGCGATGTACTTGCACTACATCTCTACTAGTAGGGATAATTTCAACGTGGGCTGGGATTCGCTACTTAGCCCTAAATGCAGCAATCTCTGCCGCGTCTATCTTAGAAATGACAGGTTCAGGTTCACCCTCAGGTGGGTTCTTGAAGTCTGACCTGGCTTTCCCCAAACGAGGAATTATCTCATCCACGGTGGGGAAATTCTCGTCTTCTACCATGGCTGCTCCTTCTTCATGAGGTGGCATGTCCACATCCAAAGTTACAGGATCATAGGAAGCACTAGCCATTTTTTCTGATTATAAGCTAAAAAGAAGTGCGAAAGTGAAAAAAATGACAATGGCAGAAAACGCTAAAGGGAGAAAGAAAACACAGATGCAAGAAATTTAAAGGAGAACTGGGGTTTCAAAAGCTCTAAAAATGCAACAACTCAAATGAGAAATACCCATTCCTATTTATAAGAATATGGGCACCCTGATCGAGAAAGCCCAAACACTGGCTCATTAATTTCGAAACTGAGGAGGCGCGGGAAACGACGTAATATATTGGGAACGTGCGCCATAATGACGCATGATGAAATGATGTCATTTCGAACTAACATAACGGTCAGATGTGGCTCTTGAAGTGCCACGTCATCACCTTGCCATAATAGGGTCACTCCTCGGCCATTGTGCTCAGATTTTTCAAAATTGCAATTGGCGAAGTTCGCTCACCGAGCTCATCCAAAAAATAACCCCGACGGGCAGATGGACTAACTGTATGGGTCAAAATCTGATCAAGGGGACCTCGCCTGAAATAAGGCAATCAAGAATCAATTAGGCCAAGGTCGTGCTTAAGAAGCAACATTGGCGAGCCGAACAGCTGATGTCGAGGTCGAGTACTCAGATTGGCCAAAACGGCTAGTTTAGCAATACGATATTTTAAAAGAATATTACATGTATTTGTATTTTAAATAGGTAAGGGATATGTCCCATATAAGTAGGAATAGAGAGAAATAAAGGGATGTAATTTTCTATCTTGATAAGCTCTCTAGAAGAATTGACTCTCAAGTAACTATAAACATTATCTTTACACAAGATTCGATTTGCTGTTTTATTCCAAGATTTCCTACATCAGAGCCGATAAGGTATTTGATATTCCCACGTTTGGTTACCTTACATCATTGTCAGAGAGATAATCATCCACCTCGTTATATATTTGGGTGAATTATTCTCTCTATTTAGAGCTGTCACACCTCCTTTTTCCGCCCCCGCAGGGGTGAAGGAGTTTTTCCAATTAAAGAACAATCGAAACGGGATTTGTTTGTTTATTTCAGAGTCGCCACTTGGGAGATTTAGGGTGTCCCAAGTCACCAATTTAATCACGAATCGAGGAAAAGAATGACTCTGTATTATAGTTCGCGAACCAAAAATCCGGATAAGGAATTCTGTTAACCCGGGAGAAGGTGTTAGGCATTCCCGAGTTCCGTGGTTCTAGCACGGTTGCTCAACTGTCATATTCGGCTTGTTTATCTGATTTTATACAATTATGAGCTCATGTGCAAATTTTAACTCTTAATCGCTTTTGTCATTAT